GTTAGTTGGTTCGTCATCTGGATGGGAGTAAAAGTTCCTTCATTTGGCCGGTTTGGAGGTATTGACTTGATGACAAAGGTGAAAGAGAGGGTGATAACCCTTTGTTAGGAGTTTTCAAATGTTCTGGGGAGATATCTCGAGTTTTTTAAGCACAAGCCGAGTCAGATCTGATGAATCAATTTAGGTCTGGAAGAAAATTTTTGCATAAGAGGTTGTTTCGGCTAGGATATGTCTCAGTTGATGTGGTAACATATCCTCTTGTATTCAAAATATTTCTGAGCACTACATTGTAATCCTTGCTATCCTGCAATAAATTGACTTATTTTCTTTTTTTTTGTCTTCTTAATTTTATTGGTCTTTTTTTGTGGAATATCGGAAACAGTAGCCACAATTTCTCTATGCTTTTATTTCTCTCTTTTTGAATTACATTTTGGTGATGGCTCAATAGCTTCTCAGTATTCTCCGAAGGATTTGAAATCAGTTACCTTGAACGACCAATCTCGGATGACTCAGGAAGAGTTCGATCAGCTGCAACAAAGTCAAGTCTTAGATACTTCTGTCAGACTTTAAGTTACCAGTGAGGCAAATAAAGCAACCTCTCTTTATGGCAATGACATTTTATTTTACAAGTATCAGTCCCACTCATCCTCTGCTCGTTGTTTTTTACCAATCTGTGTTCCAACTTTGCTAGCTATAGAGTCGTCCTGGCTCATGTGAAGCCAAGCTCCATTAAAATCATCATGTTATTGGTCATATGTTATCGGTGTCAAAAAAAAAAAAAATCCTTTGATCGATCTAGCTATTCAACTATTATTTCTCTTTTCGGGTTGGCCCGTGCAGATTTGTACCGTTCTTGTCCGCCGACAAATTCCAACTGTCAGAGTTAGAGAATAAAGTAAGATATTAGAAGCAATGATTTTACTGGGTCTCTTCTTTAAAAAAGCGAGTTCATTTAATCGAGAATAATCCGGCTGCCAAGAAAGGAAGGCTTTGGTGTAATAGGTCGAAGTGGTCCTTATTTTTTAAATAGTAGATTTGAGGTTAATCAGAGTAGCATAAGCGAAGTGGCACATTTTGAGCAGGATGCCAACTCGAAGCTGAAGTGGATTCCCATGCACTTAGAGAAGACAAAGGTGAGGTTAAGTTGGCGCAGTAGGTTCGCTTTGATTGATCTCTGTAAGAATTGGAATTCTGAATCCAGAGCTGCCATCCGTTCTGCCTCTACAATAGCTGAAGTAATATGGTCTCCGGGACTGATCGGCATTAGGCTATGGCCTGGCAAGCTTCTCATATTCAGTATACCCTCCTTTGTCAGGAAGCTCGGGCTCGATGAGAGCTCGAGTAGAGGCAAGAGGAGGCTGAGGCGGACGAGCTCGGGAGATTGGAGCTGAGCTAGAGGAAGAAAATGGAGACCTGAAGAAGTAGATGGTGGTGATGAAGATGCCCGAAGAGCTTTTTGTCGAGCTTTCTTCTCACCCAACGCATGAGACACTTGTTGCAGAGAAGTTCAAGGGAGGGATCTCATGCAACGTTGCCCATATGGGGAAGGTCGGGTTGGTTTCCTCGTGGTGGACTGATCTGGTGAAGCTTTCCACATTGGTGACCAACTTCGAGCCAGAGGAGGATGAGGACAACGAGAGTAGCATAAGTGGTCAGGAGGCGGGTTCATCTAACGAGGAGGCCAATCCTCGCACTTTTCTAATTTTCTTTATATTATTTTTTTTTAAAATTAACTTAGAAATAAATAAATAATTTGGAGTCAGTTATAAACATTACTAAAATGCAAAGAATCAAGAATTAAAATTATTATGTAAATCATCTCAAGAGAGTAAAGCTGAATACAAATTGGAGCTACAAGAGATTCACAGGGGACTCGATAACTCGTTAATAAGCTCGAACGAATCACATAGGCTCACCATCTGATGCAGATGAGGCTTTCTACATATTCCACATAATTGTTATAATTGTGCACTACAACTATAGGAATGTCTATTTAAATGTTAAATAAAAGTATAACGGAATTTCAAAATGTAATATATATCCTTTCAAATGAAACGCAGTGATTAGATGTAAGATGCTTCGTTACTCATTAAAAACCATAAGTCAAACCTCGTTGAATATGTAAAATTCAATGAACTGAAATCAAATACAAACCAAATATCAAATCTTGAATGCACAATGAAAACTCCACATCAAATGCAATCAAATAACAAGCTTTGGGTGCTAGACAAGTAAATACATAATACTTGTGTGGCATGAATGTAAATTTCCCTAAAATAAGAGAGAGAGAGAGAGAGAGAGAGAGAGAGAGATTCCTTTACTATAAAGTTCTAAGAAACTAAACAAAACTTGTATAAAAATGAAAATTGTAAAGATGAAAGTTAACGTGAGAATGAATTTGTTTCCTGATAAAATAAATGAATTTATTTTTCTAAAAAACTTGAGCAAACTAGGGCTGTCAATTTGGCTCGTTGTTCGTGAACAACTCATGTTCGTTAAACAGCTCGTGTTCGGCTCGTTCGTTACGCCTAACGAGTCGAACACGAACAACAGTTTTTTCGCTCGAGTTCGGCTTGAAATGACTCAAAAAAAAAATTATATAACTTTTTATATAACAATATATTACATATATTACTTATATAATAATATATTATATATATTTATGTCTAAGTTTAAATTACAACACCTCATGTGGCAATGTGGTTAGTGTCTTTTTTTGTATAGATTTGATCCAGGCTCGAATCTCACACTTGACATCTATTATTCTCAATTTTAGTTTAAAGAGTCAATTTCGAGCTGAATACGAGCAGAATACGAACACGAATATATAAATCGAGCCGAACACGAACACACTGCTCACGAGCTGATTTCGAACACGAGCTATTTCGAACGCCGAACACGAGCCAAGCCTGAGCTCGCTCAAGCTCGGCTCGTTTACAGCCCTACTTTTGAAGTAATAAAAATTTCATAATAATTAAATATTAAGTAAAATGAAGTCCTAATTCTTATTAATATCAAACTTAGTATCTAAACACCGATTGGTGGGCCTTAAAGGAGTGAATTATTATGTTCATGGCTTAAGCCCATCACTTTAGAATCATCCTATTAAATTATCTTTCAAATCATGACAATTATCAAAATTACAATTTTACCATTATTATGAAAATGATGGCAAATTGGTTTCTACCTTTTGAACATTGGATATACAGTGCATCAATAATTTGTCCACGTGAATCTTGAGGAAATTCAGTGTGACCCACTAATAAATATCAAAGGGTACTGCATCGGGATGGTCAAGAGTTTGAAACATCGAGCATAGTTTCCTTTGGTCGGAACTCTGAACCGATCAAAAGGAAGCGCAGTCGAACGAAGAAATAAGCGCACAATTTCGAGAGACGGTGGTTTATGACCAGCTCTCTTAACTGATTTCGAAAATCCTTATAAAATGGCCAAAGGTAACCCAACCTTTCTGGCCCTTTGAAAAGGCTCCTTGTCTATACCCTCTCCATGACGGTCCAATTCATTCTAAGAGCAGGAGGACCTCTCCTCATAATTCTCTTGAGAGGGCTGACCGACAACCTTTCAACAAACTGACTTTCGTCTGACTGAACGATAAGGTTACCAGGTCATCAATTGTTCCTCTTCAAACGCTTATGATTATGAAACGGTGCTAAGATCAGTTATGAATACGAAAGGATGTCGGAGTCTGTTATGAATATAAAATGTGTCGTAATATTTTGTAACGTCTTTATTAAAATAGGGACAAACATGTAATCATACATTAATTAACCCCGAAATCTCTAAATAAGAGGTAATTTCTACAATAAAGGTCTGGTAAATTTATTCTATCAAAACGATGGTGTTATTGTGCAATCTCTCTCTTTTTCTCTCTATCTTTATTCTCTCGCTTTATACTATATTTCTTCGTTGTAGTTCACGGGATATATCTGAATTCGACATATAGTACTATTAAGCAAAAAATAAATTTAAATTATAATTATATTCCAGAGTTTCAATGTACATTACTAAAAAATAAAGAATATAATTTGTTATTTTAATTAATCCTTATTATTTATTACATAATTGTCCATTCTTTGTGCCATTTTATGACAAATTATTCCTTGAATTAAAATAATTTTCTCTTTTTAATAACAAATGGGCCATTAGAATTTGTAGAATTCAACTCTAGCTCTAGCTCTACCCTAAACTCAATTAATTAATTAAACTCAAGCTCAAATTAAGAAAGACTCGAACGAGCGTGACTCAACTCGTTTATACCTCTAGTGAATTCTATTTGAAAGTCTTGAAGATGATCTATGCACATGTAGGATTGTAAATGAGCCTAGCTTCAGCGAGCCCAACGTTAGTTTGTATTCGGCTTATTTGAACTTTTTTTTTTACTCGAAATAGGATGAAGTTCAAAATGGCTCTTGAATAGCATATACATATTTGGCTCAATTTGAATTTATCTGTTCATTACAACTAGTATTTGGCCAGAAATTAACTCAAACTATTTAAAAATTAATTAAATTAAATATTTTTAAATACATTATAATGATTTAACAAAAAAATTAAAAAATTATTTTTTATTTACAACTTAATTAATTTAAGCTAAAACAAGTTGGACTCAATTGAACAAAATGTTCTTCAAGTTCATCTTGTTTGTAAATCGAGCTAAAAAAATTTGTTTGTGTTTAACCTGATTACTTTATAAAAGAATCAAACACAAGCTATTTAATGAGCCGAACACAAACTGCTCACGAATGAGCTCTTTTGGCAACTCAGCCCTAAGCAAAAGATTGATGGTTGAAATATATATATATATATATAGAAAAATATGTGATGTACAAGAAAAAACTAAAGATACATGCCATTTAAATTAGAAAACTGGGATTTATGGTAAATCCGGGTTTTAAATAAAACTGAGAAGTCTATGAATTTAATAAATATTAGATTTAAAATTGCAATTTTTATTTTATTTTTTTATTTTCTTTTGCCCAGTAAGATTTAGACTCCATATAAATCTATAATCATAGAGCCCTTCAGTGAAAAACTCCCCAGAATTAAAAATGAGTTGATGTTAGAAGACTGCTTGTACGATTTTGTTTAACAAATTTATAGTGATTTGATGTATTTAATATCGATTATTTATAAGCAGGTACACATTGCAGGCAGACAACTCATTAACACGCCATTAATTGATCCTTTCATTTTGATCCAACCCAATTGGTGCTCAATTAATAGTAAGCTTCTGCACCTGCACTTAAACCAGCTTATGAATAATTGAATCCTTCCTCTTCTTCCATTTCCAAAATATGCACTTAAACCTGCCTTGAGGGAAGTCTGTAACTGAGTTACAGCACCTATGGCAGCTATTTGACCACACTTCTGCTCTTCTTCCAGTTCTCCGAACTGCTTTCATGGCTGCATCCTTATCAATGTAGCCCAAAACTGTAACCTTACTCGATTTCATGTCCACTTCTACACAGGTTACACCTGTGGAATGGTTCAATTCATATAAATCAGAACAGTAGCACGCTATAAACATAAATAGTATCTGAATATCTCAATTTATATCATCATATTTCAAATTTTGCATGATTTTAAGTGATCGGGGAAAGGAATGAGGGCTAGTAAGAGAATGATATGGAGAAAAATGGCTTACCCTTTAACCGGCAGAGTGCTTTACGGACAGTTCTCTCACATGCTTTGCAGTGCAGGCTTACTCTGAGCTCAATCTTCTGAATGTTTCAAAGATATTTAGAACGATAGAAGGCTTTTGCCAAGGTGAAAATAATTGTAATGAATAGCCTTATTAGTAAAAACTATTGTAAAAATGCAATCAAGGTACATTTTGTCATATCTATTGTTTTATTACAGGAAAAACAGAGATCAGCTGACATATTTCTGTAAATTTTATGAAGAAAAAATCAAATGCCATTTGCATACATACAACATAATTTTTATACATTTGCATATGTAACACCTAAACTTTGATATTTACATACTGCATACCACTCAAACCCTAAACATCACATCAAAAATATCCCCATTACTAATTTTTAAAAGTAAATACAGTTTTTCATGCATTCACTTATAACACCAATGTAATACAAATGTAAATATCAACAGTTTAGGTGTTACATATGTAAATACATAAGAATTGTGTGCTATGCATGTAAATTTCCCAAAAATCAAATATAAAACAGCTTATGGTAACTAGAATAAGAAAGGGAACCTCCATTGAAGTAGAAGCTGGAACTGTTGCCTTGCGAGAACACAGAATGGTCTCCAGTAATGTTGGCCAAGCTTTTGTAGCAGGGAAGTGGCGGTGGTGAAACTTTGGGATTAAGCAAAGGTGTAGAAGGTAATCATTCAACTTGAGCTAGCTTGCCTTATTATCAATCATTACTATAAGTAGTAGTAGCATGCTTGTATCTTTAGGAAAAATAATATGATAATTCTATCTAATTCATTGATTACATATGAATAATACTAACTATATTTTGAGAAAATTACAATGTCGCTTTATGTCTGTTTAAAAGTCCACCAAATCCATGAATATTCCACAAATTTAGCTATAAATCCAACATTCTCTGCTTATAAAACTACACTATTACTATTTTTTAATAGGTATAGCCACCTTTCTCAGTAAATTTCAAACGTCAAAGTGCTATGTATGTAAATATGAAACTTTAGATGTGACATGTAAATACAAGAATTTTGTGCTGCATATATAATATTCCCAAAATAATAACAATGTTTACTCATAATGTTTGCATACTTTCCCTTTGTGGGATCACAAAATGTTACGTCAACAACCTGACCGTTAATTATATCGCCAAATAATACAGGAATTGTGAGAACATACAATCCAACTTTCGAAAGTATTTATTATTAATATAGGCCTCAAATTCCCTATTTTGAAAAAACCCCAACCCTTCGAGAATGGCAAAAGCTTGGGAGAATAATCCTTAAAACAACAGCTAAGAGATAATTCAACTGATGATCATCTTGTTGAGGAATTCAGCCTGGTCCGGGAAATACTCCATCAGTTCATCCTTCGTCACCCATACATAATCATCACACTTCCCAACTTGTAATTTTGTGACTCCAATAACTTGAGATTTGAAAAAAAATCTCTGTCAAGAAGAAAAAACAATTTCTTTAGAAAAATAATAATAAATGAAAAACAGCGAGCGCCAGGCACGAGCACTTTGTGCCAGTTATTCATGATGACATGCTTGCCGTGCAAAATAGTTCAGAGCTTTATTAACTCTGGGACTCTGTGAATTACTGCGTAACCGAAGTTTATGGATTAAAATATATTAGTGATTTGATAATAAGCAGCAAAGTTGCAATAGTGACAGAGCATTGACAAATTTATGTTATCTAATTCCAGATAACTGATGCAGTTTATTCATATTTGCCAATCGTAGAACAAATATTTTCAAAGAATAATAACCCTTGTTCTTTTATCTAGGGCAAAGTGTCACTCGAACTCGACAGCTTAGGGTTCTTTGCTTTGTTTCCGGTCAATATGCTACACATTAGAGCTAATATTAACCGCTTGTTGATGCTGAAAAGTACAGGATCAAGTACATATTTCTTTAGTCTAAAGGGATACTATGGAGTGATGAAAGTTTGGAAGAGTTTAGAAGAGAAAAAGTTGGGAATAAAACGGGAGAAGGTGAGAACAATAAACTTGTCGGGTAAAAGCCTTCACTTTCCATTTTGTTTTCTCTCCAAAAAAGTTTGTATGGGGGTATTTATAGGGACCATTGTACTCCACTAAGCTACAAGGTAGGGGCACCATATATTAACCTTTGAGAGAGTCATTGTTACTCCGAAGGCTGTGGTCCGTGGGATCTAGCGATAGGCCACCAATATAATAATTAACCGCATGGCAGAGGAACTATGAAGGCAGCCTGGGTAACTTTCACTTGGGACTCTCTTAGACATGGTGACCAATATTCTTTTGAAAGATTAAATCAACATGCAATGCCAAGTTGAACTTACTACAAAATGTTGCAGCCAAATTTGCGGATTGCATCAATTCTCCTCTCTTTCCTACTCTATTTATGATTCAGAAATAATTGGAATACAATTTGAATATTCTTGTCTTTTTGGCTTCATTACAATTCCTTTCACATATCCGTTCAAAAACAAAGCCATGGATTCTAAGGATCTTACATCTCTTACAACGCACGTGAGGATAATAAACAAAAGAAAACAAAATGGCCCCTCTAGTACCCATAGGTCTCAAAGCTACTCTAGTTGCATAAGTATCCACTATGTGCATGGGAGTTGCTATGTTCACTTGTGCAAGCTTCATAGCTGATAGTTTCTTTCCAAAGCCCAAGTCATCTTGATGCCAATTAGCAATGAGGTCGCCCCATATGTCCTTCATATAAAGTTGTTGAGGTTCCTCTTATATTTATTTAGTACGAGTCAACTACAAGACAATTTGACTAGTGTCATTTGAGTTTTGCTTAGCGGACCTCTTTAGTTGATGCCCTATCTACATGAATGCATCAAATGTAAGCACTTCGAGTTCTTAACTTTGGTGGGACTAATAGAACTATGATTTCATATTGAACAATTAAACATCTCAATGATCAAAGCGATGATGTCGACAGCTCAAAACTCAAAGGGATCCAGATATTCAATCAGGCAATGAGCCTCTCAACCACGTCACTGGTCATTTTGACCAAGGGAAAGCAACAGAGGTGCAACTAATGTGGTTTTCCAAACAAAAATTTCAATTGAACACTTCCAAAAACAAACTGCAAAACCTAGTAGTTGCCAAACCACTTTTTCATTCTATGTCAAAGCATTATCTGATTATAGAAGAGGATTGAGAGCCTTCCCGGATAGTGACATGAGAGAAACATCAAGCTGAGAATCACATAATGAACATTTTGAAACAGCACATCCTTAGGAAGGCAATCGGGCTTACTAGAAAGAGGCTCACTTTGTCAATGTCCATTAAAACAAAAACAAAAACCAAAAAAAAAAAAAAAAAAGAGGAATCCCTTCACAACAAATAGTACCAACAAGCTGACGAGCACACTCATGAGGCCTTGGTAAAGAAGACCTATGCCAATGTCCAAGTTAAAAATGTAGCAAGTAATCTTCCCTTTCCACGGTAAAGATAAAGCCAAACCCCATACCTTTCACAAACATTGTGTTGACCTCACTAAAACTTTTAGTGAGGTCTAGTTTTCTTCATAGGGATTAGAGTCTAGCCTTAGGATTCTCCATTTGACTATTTTAGAGCCCTAGAAATGGGACCCACCACATTTTAGAAATTCAAACTACTTAAGTTCCGCATGTGTGGTCTTGGCCTCTAGCACTTAGGATGTTGAAACCAACATGAGGAAGCTCAAAAGAAGTCCCTATAGGATCATTAAGCCCTAGGATTGTTTTATGCATAATTTACACATTCGCGCGCACAAACCTCACAATTCGGACAGTCGACAAGTTAAATATTGCAATTCACGTCACCTACATCTTTATGTGTTGCATAATTATCAAAATCAAAATTAATTTCCAAAACGATCGATCACGGACTCGAATGTTTGACGAAAATTGAATTTGACACGTTTTCAACTTGATCGTAGGCGAGGTTTCCGAATGACCTCGGATGACGAAACGGACTGAGTCGGCGCGTCCGGAACGTCGATTTTAGTTAGAAGGGACATCCATTTCGATATGATTTCGTGCAAGGTCGAATTTTGTCCGAATCGACGAAGTTTAAATAAAATATTAAAAAATGAGTGAAAAAAAAGGAAAGAAAAATTATTTTTCCTAACTTTGCACCCAAATGATGCTTCATCTAATGAAGCGTTGAAGAATATACGAATCTACAGAACAGAACTTATGTATATTTGATGGATATCTTCCCCACATAATCTATCAAACGACTGCAGGGATGCATTCAATGAATAGGGATTTCCCTCTTTGATGCTGCTATGTTGAATTCTTTGCAATTCCTTGATTTTAAATTGCATATTTCCTGTTATGAATGTCAATTTAAACTTAATAACTCCATATCAAGATCTGAATCTAAAGATAATGAAGTTTTCTTCGGGCAATTTACATATGTACCACACAATTCTCATGTATTCACATATTTAACACTTGAGCTTTCATGTTTACATACATACCACTTTATCTATGCCGAAAAGAATATGTTACTTCTTAAAAGTTAAAATAGTGGTATTTATTTTTTTTATGTGACATGAAAAGATTCTTGTGTTATAAATGTAAAGAAAGAAGTTCATGTGTCATACATGTAAATACATAAGATTTAGGTGATGTGTATGTAAACCCATCTATCAGTGTTGAATCGAATGAGTCTACCTTTATAAATCCTACTGTTAGACAACTCATGGGAAGCCTTAAAGCTTGATAGGCACAATCATGGTCTTAGCCCAATACATTAGTTGTATAAAGTTGTTGTTTGATTTTTGAAAACGCTGTGAGAGCTGTTTGAGGTGTAGAATTGTTGTAAAGCTGCAGTTTGAAGTGTATAATCGGTGTAGACTGCTGTTTGGAAGCCTTAGGATCACTCGTTTGGAGTCATAGTTGTTGTCAGGAGTCGTAGGAAGTCGTAGGATCACCGTTTGGAGTTCCTAGCCGCTGTCCTGAATTGTAGAAAGCCTTAAGACTGATGTTCGGAGTTCCTAGCCGATGCACGTAATTGTAGGAAGCCTTAAGACTCATGTTTGGAGTTCCT